TCCCTTTTCATTCAACATATATAACTTTCTGATCGAAGTTAGAAGACCCACCCGTGTTCTTTATTTTGGTATGATATTATTAACAAAATAAAGAAAACAACACCTACACTTTAGCCTAGTACAAAAAACTCCCACTATTTTCTACATTAAAAAATGCCAACATTTATGATTAGCTCTTTCAGATGCATATACCTAACAAATGCCTCTTCTTGCTAGTGAAATTGTAGAAGAGAAACAAATGTATGTGTTTATTTGTAGTACTGAATTTTTCTGTAATAACTAGGCTACATTCAGGGTAATTTTGTAGATGAACCCTTTAACATAGGTTTAAGGAAGTAGATGATACTTACTGAATAGAAAGAAATCCAGACTTTTGTTGTGCATGTACTCATAGATTATCATTTTATCATTCCCGTGAATGCTAAAGCCAATTAGCTTAACAAGGTTCACATGCTGCAATTTAGAAATGAGAATCAGCTCAGTCTTAAACTCAAGCAATCCTTGTCCCGACTGTCGTGAAAGAAGCTTCACCGCTATATCTTTGCCTTCTGATGTAATTCCCTGCAAAATTGAACAAAAACAATATTTATAAATCAGGAACTTTAGATTATGGTTCTAATTTTCAATACTTATGGAACGCTATTGTAACCAAATTCAGAAAGACAGCAAAATTTCGTCATTCACAATATTGACACTTGTTTTAAAATTTGTATCTGGGTAGCTTTTCGAGAATTGAATATATGTAGTCATAACACGCTACTACTACGACACAACACACGGGCTTTTTATTATTTATTTCTTTTCAACACTGAAACGATGACAAAAGAAGCAATGTCAAATATGACTCAAGAACTTGGCAATCTGTAGTACTTGAAGTAAACGGAACAGGATAGATAAGAGCATCTCCAATGGCCTTTGAATTGTCGTATCTTGTTGCCAGATGACACAAAAAATCCTATGTGGCCGAAAAAAATTCTAGAAGTCTTTCTAGATGTACAAGTACATCTAAACAACTTCTATTATATACTACCTCCTATTTTTAATAGATGTCGTTTTAAGAAATTGCACATTAATAAAGAATATTTTTTTTGTCAATAATACCCTTATTTAATGAAGATAGAGATGAATGTTTTGAGAAAAAGTGAAGAGTGAATATGAAAAGACGTAATGTATTTATAGCTAAATGAGGGTAATAATGGAAAAATATGTACAAAAGATCCAAAACGACATTTATTTAGCAAATAGTTGATAAAGCTAGAATGACATTTAAAAAAAATAGGAGGGGGTATTATATTACATATTCAATTTTTTTTTTTTATTTTTTTCAACCAATTATAAATTTACCATTGGAGATGCTCTAATCCCATTAGATAGAGACCGTGAGCAGTTTTATTTTATGATGGATAATTACAAAAACTCCCTTTAAGATTTGTTTTTGAAAAAATAAAAACATAAAAAAAAAAGAAGAAAAATGAAAGGCAAAACAATTAACTTCAAGAATTGCCGAAACCACCCTGATATTATATCCATTTTATATTTTGCAACTGCCACTAGTGGCTAACAGTAGTTTCTGATGTTTCGAACTCTTTATCAAGTACCACAGAGTTTTCTTTCCACATGTACATTTACATCCCTCAATTCTTCCAAATATTATAACCATACAAAAAGGTTTAAACAATTTGGAAACGTATTTATAGAAGTTGCAGTGTAGTCAGTTTCCGCTGAAAACTTTAGGGTCGTTTTATAATTTATATTATAACAGAGGAGAAAATTAGAACCAGTTGTCGTGGCGGGTACCAATTATAACTAAGACGAGGTTTCCCCCAATATTTAGAAAATGTTCTCAAGCATGGCATCGACATACTCAAAAAAAATCCAAAGCAGCGGGTACCAATTATAACTAAGACGAGGTTTCCCCCTATATTTAGAAAATGTTCTCAAGCATGGCATCGACATACTCAAAAAAAAATCTAAAGCAGAAATATTAATTTAAAATTTTAACAAACATACATGGACGAAACAGAAAAAATACTGAATAAAGCACAATGAGATCATCAAGAGCCATATATATTTGAGAAATTTTACCTTATATACAGGTCCAAAACCACCTTGCCCAAGTTTATGGTCCGATGAGAAATTGCGGGTGGCAGATTGGACGGATGCATACGTAAAAAGCCTGAGATCATGACTCTTGCCTCCTTCATTGGCATCTGTATATCCTTCCAGCGTCAGCAGCTCATGCAATTCTTTCTCTCTCCTCACTATCACATGACCATCCAAATAAATTAGACATAGGTATTCAAATATACTTTAGAAGACAAAGAAGAGTTGATTGTTATACCCTGCTTAAGCTTTCGCATGAGGAAAAAAGCCACGCCTGAGAAAAACACCACCATTGCACTTAACACAACAAGGATGATTTTCACATATGTCTTCATTCCTGTTCATTGACAAAATAAAAGGTCCCGTTCGCCATTATATTCTTTTTAAGCCAACCCCCTCCACACACACACAAACACACAAATAATATCATAGATAATGCGTGAACCAACCTGAAGGTGCAGTTTCAAGAAGGTACATTAAATCAGCATCGGTAATTCCATCAGGACTCTGCACAAACCCCATTCTACCTCTCCAAAATCTGCAGCCATCAGAACTAGGAAAGTAAGCCATGCATTCACAATCATCCCAGCAATTCTCTCTACAGTCGCTTGGCCCAAGGCTCGCATTCCTGTCATAAAAAGATGTAGAGAACCCACCCGAAAAATGTCCAGCCCTACGGGTAAACGTCTGGCGTTGGTTCCTGCACGTGGGCTGTTCCCACACTTGGCACCCTCTCTGAACACCGGGCCTCTTGGATTCATAACCATAGCAGAGACTGGACATCACCAAATAACCTCCGCCAATGTCGCTGATATCCCCGTTATAATCCATCCTCCATCCTGAGATAATTTTTCGTTCATCAGGGGTGAAATATATAATATATACGAGTGTATACATAAAATATTCACCCTCGCCATCAGTAACACTGCTGAAATTATAGTTATAGTCTAAAACATCAGGCGGATTCATATTCTCAAACTCCTTGATACTGAAATTTCCTGTGTTCTCGTAATAATCCCTCATCCGGCCGCTCGTCCAGTAAATCACTCCTCTTCGCCTGATTACCAGTCGGCCCACATTTGAGTCCCATTCAAGGGTAAAGGCCCCGTGAGCTGGATTACTCTCGTCAAACCATGAAGAAAGAGTCCAATTCCTCCCTGTCCGTTGATTAAACCCTAGTTTCATACCCGGGAGGAGAGTATCAGTAGGATAATCGAAGCTCTGCCATAAAATCTCGCCGCTGGAATTCGCCTCCCTGACTACGAAATTCCCAGTGTCCAAAAGGGTGGCTGATAGATTGTTCCTTGGTCCGCCGGAATACACCTCGAATGATTCTACTCCTGGGCGTCGGCTGGTGATGACCAGGCTTCCGTTAGCGTCTATAGTGAGACTCAGGTTTGAATTTGGGGGAAAAGGGTTTTCCCTGTTGGCGATCCACACGGGAGGGTTAGGGGGCGCGCCGTCGGTGTACCACACGGCGAGGTAGGTATTGTTGGTGTCCTGAGGGGTGTGAAACCCTAACGTGAAAATCCTTCTGGTAGAGATCAGCTGAGAATATGAGTTCAGACTGTCTCCTCCTTGCCACAGGGTGTCGATTGAAGAAACTTGAGCGGCCAAAAAATGGAGGTGAATTAATAAGAAAACAAGCATTACAGTTGCAGGTTTCATGGCGGGATTTTGTACACCAACTGCAGATTTTCTTTTTCATTTTTCTTGACATAGTCTGGATTGTATTAATAATATAGATGAAGAAGGCCGTCGAAAAGTCAAAAATTGGTACCACTCGACTCGTTGTCTGGAGATTTTTTT